GACGGTTGTGGGCGGACACCGGGTGATCAATGTGGAGATTCCAGGACCAGGTGTGTGTGGGGATGTATGATGAGGGGGTGTATGATGCGGGGGTGTATGATGGGGGTGTGTGTGATGGGGGTGTGTGTGATGGAGGGGTGTATGATGGGGGTAAGACGAACTACTGGCGAATGAAGCTCATGGGGCGCGATGGAGGGTGGGGAGTGATGGGTGGAGAGGGGTGAAGTTGCTGAAGGGAAATGGTGCATCAGTTGGGAGGTGGTTGGAGGTCGGGACTGACCTGCCCCGGCGCGGACACATGCTCCTTCCTGAAGCCCGGGTAGGGCCGCACGCCTGGCCCCCAACCGCTGATTTCTTCGAGGACAAGTAGGTAAGCATTTGTTTCGGTGTATGCAGCTGTATACACGCATGCACATGCGCATGCACACATACATACATACATACATACATACATACATACATACATACATACATACATACATACATACATACATACATACATACATACATACGCACCACACGTACAGACTCGACACCGTACCCCAGTCGGCAGTTGAACCTTTCCTTCTTTGATTCTTTGAACATAAATGACCCCCAAAAACGCCTCCTCCTTACTCCTCCTTACTCCCCACGACCCCTCCCCCAAAGGTGGCAAACCTCGCATGTGGCGTCGCGCCTGGCGGGACAAGATTTTGCCCGCTGTAGTCAACTTTAAGTGAGTGTGGGAAACCTTAGGAAACTTTAGGGTTTTATCTTTTTATGTTGGCACGCGTATAATGTACGTGCATGTATAGATGTACGTGCTGTTTTGCTTGGGATTTAGCCATGGGATATGTCCACTATTGTACTAAGCACTGTGGTGAGCAGTAGGCGAGAGGTAGGTGTTGGGCGTTTATGGGGCGGGAAAGGTGTGTGTGTGTGTGTGAATACGTGTTTTGATAGTCTGGGTCGCGAACCGTGTATGTGTGTTTTGGAGTCAGCGCTCGCGAAAGGGAGGGGCCGCTTCAGGCGCCCCGCTTGAGTCGGTTATATTGCTCGGTTACCCGTCATTGTGTGTTAGTCAAATAATAAATACCCCCCTCCACCACCATCTTGCATAAACACCCGGCCCTGGCCGCGCCACACCCAACCGGGGCCCCACTTCACCCCGCCCCGCCGCAATCCCCCGCGCGGCCCGTTCTTTCTCCTCCGCTCCAGGCCGGACATCATCTTCGTATCCGCCGGCTTTGACGCGCACAAAAAGGAGGACCTGAATCTGCGGTGAGCGCATGGAGCATGCATGGATGCATGTATGTATGTATGTACGCAATGTCTAAAATTTGTGGGGCCCCTCGCACGCCGCCGCCTCAATTTACACCGTCCCTCTTGACACCTCCGCCTGCCCCTCTCCACCTCCTCCGTAGCTATGTGGGTGTCACCGAGGCCGACTACGAGTGGCTCACTGGGCAAATTGTGGAGGTGGCAAATGTGTGTTGCGACGGGCGGGTGGTTTCGGTGCTGGAGGGGGGCTACAACCTGAGGGGAGGTCCGCTAGGGAGCGCCTTTGCCAGGAGGTGAGGGGGCTGGGAGGTGAGGGGGCTGGGAGGTGAGGGGGCTGGGAGGTGAGGGGGTTGGGAGGTGGAGGGGTTGGGAGGTGAGGGGGTTGGGAGGTGAGGGGGTTGGGAGGTGAGGGGGTTGGGAGGTGAGGGGATCGGGAGGTGAGGGGATCGGGAGGTGAGGGGATCGGGAGGTGAGGGGGTTGGGAGGTGAGGGGGTTGGGCATGCTTAGGGGCTGGGTGCACATGTGTGTATATGTGTGTGTGTGTGCACATACACCTCCGTCCCTTCTCGCGTCCTGTCTCTCTACAGTGTGGCCGCCCACGTGCGCGCCTTGCAAGCCCCATGTACGGCAAAGTACGACCCATTGGATGCGGAGACGGAACGCGCGGCGGAGAAGGCCCTGGAGGCGCGAAAGGCGGCCAAGGCGGCTGCTCTTGCAGCGGGTGAGCGAAACATGTTTTTCCGGGCCCCGCTGGTATGTATGTATGTATGTGCGTGATCCATGTGTGCGTGTGCAATCCCTCAGGTATCATTCCCCCTGCGGGCCTCGTCACGCCTCGTTCCTCCATTCCCACCCCACGAGCCTTTCCCCCCGTCATCGCCGCCACCGCTGCCGGCGGCGGTGGTTTAGCACCCATGGATACCGACCCCAACATTGCGGGGCCGCACGCCTCGGCGGCTGCACCGGCCGCCGCCGATGCCAACGCCAACGCTGATTCCGCAGCGGGACCGCCGGGTGGTGAGGAGCCGCCGTCGAAGCGGCGGCGGCGTCCCGTGGATTACGCAGCGCTTAACGCGCAGCTGGAGAAGGAGCAGCAGGAAGCGGCTGCGGCAGCGGAAGCGGGGGGGAAAGCGGAGACCGCCGCTGTTGATGAGGACGGCGCCGCTGGCGGCGGCAGCGGCAGGTAATTGTTGGCTATGTGTTTGACTGTCTGTGGTGGTGTGGTGTGCATGTACGACGCGGAGATGGGAAGGCATTTAGCTCGCAACCAGGTAGCTAGGTTGCCTCTTTTTTGACTTCTTAAAAAGGTCGATAAAGTGTGGGTGCGCGAGTTTTGTCTTGCTGTAGTTGTAATGAGGCCCCGAGGGAGAGGGTTTGGCAAAGGGGGCGGGGAAGCGAGTATATGTATGTCTGTATTCTGTATGTGCGTATGTATGTACTTGCATTGTGACTAGGGGCCCAGGGATTGTGAAGGGGAATGTAAAGTGTGGTGCGTGTGGTGCAAGGGGGCATATCATGTGCACCAGAGTGACATACGTACATACATACATATACACATACATATAAGCATACACAGCAAAATGCATGAAGATGAGCTCGGGAAGTGTAGTACACGACACGCGCGCACGCGCGCGGGCAAGTCAATGATGCAGGTACGAGTGTGTTGTACGGGAAAATGCTGGTATTGTACATGAGTCCTTATATCTTGATCTGTCTGATTGGGTACACAGCTTTTGGTTGGAAGCTTCCGTTGGTGGTTTATAACGGCACGTACGGCACTGGGTGGATTTAACCGCTTGTACGGTACAGGCGTCGGGACTTGGGTGGGGGTTAGTGATCCGTGTGTGTGTGTTGTGGTGGAGAGGGGTGAAACCCGGGGGATGATGATGTAAATCCTGCTGTCCCTATGGTTGTGGGATGGGGGAATACCAGGGTTTTGTCGTACAGACATTTTCATGGGACATCTACAGGATGAGGAGCAAGGGGGAAAGAGGGTCTAATTGAGTTATTCGGTAGTTATGGTGGTGAGTAGTGGTGGTGGTGGTGGTGGTGGTGGTGGTACGGCAGAAAACACGCACCAGAGAAGCGGCTGGATCTGGGGTTGGGCGTGTGTGTGTGGGGGGGGGGGGGAAATACACAGGGGGACATGAGGGGGAAATTAGGTGGTGGGTGGCAGGGTCAATGTGTCATGGTGGACGGGCTTAATTGTTGGCATGCCTCACCCGAATCCTGCCTTTCTACTGCCACTGCTACGACTGCTACTGCTACTCCCGCTGCTATTGCTTTTGCTGCGAGCTATATTTTGCTGCGAGGCCGCAATAATCCGCGGCACGATATATGAAGGCAACTGCGTACATAAGTTATGTAAGGTAGGGCTGCCTTACTTGGGTGGTTACTTGGGTGGCTACACCGCCAGGATGTGTGGTCACGTATCAGGTCACGTATCCTAATGTGTGTGTGCGAAATCAGGACATGGAAGGGGTCAGATTTTGAGCCGAGAAAAAGCAATTGTGCGGCCAGCCGAGCTTTGCAGCGGTGAGCATCACAGTCGAGCACCAATCGCGGTATGGATCTGCGATTACCGACGGGAAATGTAGCTTGTACTGTGAATCTCTGTGTGCTCCAAAAGCCTTCTTGTTTTTTTGCTTGGTCAAAATATTTGCATCATCACTTTAGCTTCTTGCATTATGGAGCAGCATGATCAAAGGGAAAAGAAGGGCCAAAAACCCTTTTCCATAACGTCATACGATACCTGCCTGAATACGTACGGGTCTACAGGGAGTGGGATAAATGGTTATTATTGGTATACAGTGTTTTGCGACATTTCGCCACTACTGCTGATTTCGAAATTCCTGCATATTACAAAACGTTCCAGCAAATTACAAAACGCTTACCTTTACAACTGATTACAACTCCCAAGATGCGTATATATGAAACGTATGAGAGCACCGCACGCATAGCATAATACAGACATAGCATGCATAAGCATGTATGCACCTATCTTGTATCGGTACTTGCTTCTGCGAATGCTTTCATATTCACATCATTGATCATCATCTTCACACCATCAATGACGAATGCGCACGCGAGAGACTCTGAGTGCCAACGATCGACCTGTTAGTACGGCCTGACATGTACGACCTGACAGCAGGTTAGCGCAGCCACACATACAGACGATCCAGTCGACCCGGGTTCAAATCCGCCTGCCAGCTCCTCGGGTGTTTGAGGAGTGATGAAATGGGAGGTGGCCCCCCATCATATGGACGGTGTAGGACGTGATAATATCAACTTGCGAGCTGACCAGGAACTAAGTTGATGCGCCGTTGATCCGCTAGATTTGGTTGGATGCTGGTGGTGAGTTGCCGAACCCAACGAATACATTCTGAAGTCGGATGGGGTGACGGATTAGGGTGCCCCTCTAGCAGGGGAGAGCAGGGACTGCCCCGGGAAAGGGGGCCGCTGGCGAAGTTAACCACCCTGTAACAACATACATACAGACACACACACACACACAAGTGACATGATGGCAGTTCTGTCGTGCTATACATATAGGAGCAGAAAAACTTGTATTACCCTACACAAGTCATCAAATATGTGCATGTATCAGTAGCAGCAAAGTGACGAAGAGAGCGAAGGAGTCCTCCGGGCTTAGTTACCAAGCCATTGCTTGACAGAATGGTAATGCAGCATAAGGCAGTTCGGATCCCAACAAGTCATGTGCTCACAGCGGATGCACTCGTCGAGTACCCATTATCATTATCACCAATAAATATTAGTGCAAGCTGCGACGGAGAGCTGGGACAAGTCGGGTGTCGGCTTCCTCGAAGCCGGAAAAAGGGCGGGCCCCCCCTGCATCCGTACAGGCCGGTAGCTAGCGCGGCACGTGTGACAATTGATGGGTAGTGTCAACGCGGTGGGAGATGTGGTTTGTTGCGGCAGTGCTGATGGTGTGAGAGCTAAGCTTGCGGAATCGTCAGCACCGCCTGCGGGCTCCACGCGAATCGCATCCATCCGGCCGGGTGCATGCCGCATGGACAGTGCGGCAGACCGCAAGTCGGAATGCCCGTGCGGGCAAATGGTAACGAAAGCTGGGTGCATTTCGGTGCTGTCTGTGATGTTTATCCCCGAAGCGCCAGCGGCCTTAGCAATCCGCCCCACAGCCGCGGGCTTCATCGGGGCACACCGCAGTACAGTAGCTTTTAGTCACAAGCCGCCAGCTTGGCTTGGTAGTAAAACAACCCGACTCCGAAACCCATCACCTCCCAACACCAACCCATTGTGAAAGTTGCAGTAGTGGCCGATAGTAATGGCAGTTACCTGTGTTGCACCGTTAAAAAACCCCAAGGACCTCGAGGGCCCACGCCGGGTGAGCGTCAACTGCTGGATTGCGGCAATCCAGGAATTGCCTTGGGTGGGTGGAGGGAAAACTAGAGGTCTCGTCAAGGCAACGGCAATTAAAGAACCAATGCGCCTGTGGGACACAAGTAAAAGCTTGGCGTTCCCTTCCGTACAATGGTCCGGCACATGCATGCACGCATTCGCCCTACCCGCCTATCTCTACACTATATACTTCGCTTCGAGAAGTCGAAGCGTATTACCTGTTCGACATGGATGCATGATGAGTGATGCGTGTCTAACATAATGTGCATAACATCACAAGACATCGCTTTTTGAAACCAGAGCAACCATTTTAACGAGCGAGGATTGTCAACCAGCAGCAGTTAGCAACGTATAAAACGAACACCACTGCATTTATTGCGTCGACAAGTCCGATTCCAGGAACCAGCAAGGCTGCGGCCAGCAAGACATGATCAACTAACGAGGCCACGCAAACAAAGGAGCAAGCGATAACTTCGGCCTGGATATCACATGTAGGAAAGCACGTATCAATTAATGCTTTAAAGCTTTTTACCCACTAATTGCTTTACCTGAAGATGCAAGCAGGTGAGGTTAAATACTCACACAACGCATGTTGTTGCTGTTGTTGCAGAGTGGAAGGCTTCTGGACCTTTTGGACACATTTTGAATTGTCGCCTAGGATTGAACACCCTACAGCGCCATCCACCCTTACCACACTGTACTACGCCAAACGAACAGCAAGTTCAAGGCGGTTGATCCTGCCTACTTGGACTCTCCTCCTCCTCCTCCGCCTCCCCCTCCTGCCTCCCACATCCATTCACCCGAACATCCGCAGAGACAGAGGGTTCAGCAATCGCCACCAATCCAGCGTGGTGCGAATCTCAGTCCTTCCATGCCGGTCTCGGTCAGTGCCTCAACATCTCGGTAGCTAGCCACCATCCCACGTGCACGTTACAGACAACAATGGAAGTCTACCCAGGAATCGAACACAGGACCGTAATACGCACTAGGCTGAGCATGCCGCCTCATGCCCATGCCAACGCGTGCTCATGCTCATGCTCGTGCCAACGCGTGCTCATGCTCATGCTCGTGCCAACGCGTGCTCATGCTCATGCCCATGCCAACGCGTGCTCATGCTCATGCTCGCGCCAACGCATGCTCATGCTCATGCTCGTGCCAACGCGTGCTCATGCTCATGCCAACGCGTGCTCATGCTCATGCCCATGCCAACGCGTGCTCATGCTCATGCTCGTGCCAACGCATGCTCATGCTCATGCCAACGCATGCTCATGCTCATGCCAACGCATGCTCATGCCCATGCCAACGCATGCTCATGCCCATGCCAACGCATGCTCATGCCCATGCCAACGCATGCTCATGCCCATGCCAACGCATGCTCATGCTCATGCTCATGGTAACGCATGCTTATGCTCATGGTAACGCATGCTCATGCTCATGCTCATGGTAACGCATGCTCATGCTCATGCCCATGGTAACGCATGCTCACAACGCATGCACATGCCAGGTTATGAATATGGAGAAATGTCCCGCAAAATGAAAGATCCTTACGCCAGATTGTAGATCATGCACGCACACACACACACACACACACAAATCACGGCGACCACATCCCCAAAGCCTCTGAACATGCATGTTCACAACACGGCAGGTGGCAAACCCATGCCCCACTCCTCTGCGCCTACCAAAAGCCCAAGCTACTTCATCTCCCTGATGTATCGCAATGACCTCTGAGGGCTCGGGCGCGCGTGTTCATATCCTTAGGGTTTGCTTGTCGCTAAGTAAAATTTAAATCGGAGGCAGCAATTTT